CGCCGACGATCTTTCTGGTTTCTAAGAAGACGCGGTCGTTGTTCCAGAGCGGGTTGAGGACGGAGAGTTGCCTGGCTATCCGGTTGTGTTCCCGGAGGAAGACGGTGTGCATGGACGTCAGACCAGGCTGTTCGTTCACGCGGACATCCCCCGCCTGAGAACAGGTCTCCTCCCCCGGAGACTCGTGCTCAGGACACCCCATCTCAAACTCCTCCGCTATGGCGCCTGGTAACAGCTCCTTCTTCTCAGAGTCTGTAGGGTTAGGCCGGGACTTGAGTAGACCACGGGCTGCCGAGAGAAAAACAGGGGTTTATTATTACTTCGTTTTCTAGTTCCACAGAACAAGGCAAAATGAGTTGTCAACAAAATAGAATGTTATTGTATTTCTATTCAAATATAGTCACTATGATGTACATTTTAGGGTAGAAAAACGTAAGAATTGAGAATTAGACATTTTTACCTTCCTCTTACGTTTTGCTAAGGAAGCTGCTACTGTAACATACCCGTAGCCAGGATTTTGAATGGGGGGGTTCGTCCCACTGCTTGAGGGGACCTCGAGCGCCGTAGGCGCGAGGTTCCTAGGGAAGTCCGGGGGCATGCTCCCCCGGAAAATTTTGAAAAATGAACCTTCTAAAATGGCATTTCGTACATTTTTGAGAGGATTTCCAAGAAAAAATCAGAGATAAATTTTGATTCAATGACAAAGGTAGCAGTTTTTCTACGATTCCAGTCCATCTTTTCAAGAAAAATGTTGGACCTGTACATAAAAAGATTATTAAAATGTGGACCAAAAAGTGGACCTTTACATAAAATGTGGTGGGGGGGTTCTTCCGAACCCCCGAACCCCCCCTGGCTACGGGCATGTGTAACTACATGTATGTGCATTGGAGAGGGCAGGTTGATGACAAGAGGAAACGTTGCTACATATATTCAGGGATATCGTGACTTACGAGACTGTGAAATCATGCCGGCTTGGCAGATGTATCCCCGGCGTCTCCGGCAGGGCACGTCGTTCCACTCGGCGCCCGTCCCTGCCAGGAAGTTCACGCAGTCCTCCCTCCCGGATATCTCAGGCTCTCCCGGCAGCCAGTTCGTGAAGTCACCTGGAAATTATTAATTTTATTAGTATCATCATTATCATTGGGTAAGTAGGCTTAAGGCTGAATTATGGGGAACAATCTGTTAGGGCTAAAACGCAAGACCATATAAATAAGTCTACTGTACATGTCTCCTGTGATTGTGTCTCTCACTTCACTGTCTTCATTTCTTATGCGCTGTAGCTTTTACTTACATTGAAATGATATATGACATATATGAATACAGTAGTAACTATATATCCCATACAAATAGCCCGTACCATCTTGAAGGATTGTCCCGTCTTCCCACCGCCATTCTCCCTCCACGTGTCTGTCGCTCAGGCCGAGCCAGAACGGGACTTCTGTGGACACCTGGTTCTTCAGGTCCACCAGAAACGTGTTGGTGTCGTTGTCTTTGGGCGTGGCGAGGATCCCGCCATCTTCCGCACAGCTGGCCGCCGCCGAGTCAAAGTCCTTTGCCGTTTGGGTAGCCTTGAAACAGCTTCGCCTGTGTCTGGTGTAGCCTGGAGGACACATCCCCTGGGCTGCGTGGGGGGAAACAAGAAATATATTAATAATCCAGCTTTATTTGAATTGGTCACAGAATTAGTAAACAGGTTGAAATGACATCGCCGATATTGTGCTAATGTAAGTTCTATGACACAGTTCTAAGAACTGTCACTGGTTAAAAGTCTTAACCTACATATGATCATCACTCTATGTCCAATGTTGAAATGAGACCAGGGATGTTTGATGCTCAGGAAAGCCAGTTGATAAGTTGGTTAAGGGAATACAATGAGCCAGATCCGTACCTTCATACACCTGTACTTCACACAGTGTGAGGGGCTCTAGGGTCGGCAGGAAGACTCCAACATAGCGGCCCTGACGACCGCCGCAGTCCACGGTGACAGTTTCCTGCCCCCTGGTCACCACGTGGTCCCCGCCGCACGACGGGTTGGACGCCACGACAGTCGAGTCCCCCACGTGAAGCCGGAAGGAGTTCAGCCGTTCCGAGCAGCAGTCCTGGCGATTGAAGATGACGACCTCGTCGATGTAGTGTGAGCTTCCCAGATCGACGTACCACCAGTTGTTGATGTCCTTTATTGTGTGGGTGCAGGACCTGGAGCTGTACACGCCGTTCGTGTCGCCGTCCACAGCGCGTTCCGGGACGCCGCCGAACCCTAGACTGGACTGCTGCGTGGGGCGCCCCAGGGCAAGGTTAGGGCCGCGCATTTCTGAAAAGAAAAAAAAAAGAAGATGAAACATCAGACCAAAAGTTCACACTTGTCTGTCTTCTTTTCTGGCCTTTACATTTACCTTTCCATGCACTGGCGTTTAAATCTTCAAGGTTCGCCCTACAGTCTTACAGGTGGGCCTTTGATCAATTTTGGAAGACCAAATCGCAAATAGTGGTCATAGTGCAGTAGATCAAACAGTTGCCTTACCTTCAGGCTTCTCCATATCTCTAAGCGCTTCCATCTCTTCTTCAGAAGAGCCGTAGACATTGGAGGCGTCTACGAAGGCGGTGATCTGGTTGACCTGTTGCCGCGGACCCATACGGCACCCTTCGTTCGGACTGGATCGCGAGCGGGCGAACGGTATACACGACGCACTGCTGAAGTCCTCGTCATCGGTGGAAATGGGAATGTTGAAGCAACGGTCGTCCTGGGAGTCACATTCACACACCAGACCTGGAAGCGGAAGAGCGTCATGATCATCATCTTTTAGGCAGACTTGTGCAATGTAAATATAATCTCCCAGGTAGCCTCGTAACGTGTCGAATGGAATTCATGACTATTAATTTTGTATTGTACAATTTCGTACTCCGCTTTAGAGCAAATATGAAGCATTTTGAATAACGTTACGTGTTGTGGATATTTCGCTCTTGTATTTTGTAACCTGGGAGTGATGAAGATGTCTCACCTTCCTCTTGGAAGTTTGGAGTCAGCGTGATGTCGTGGTCCAGGAACTGGCCGAACTGCATGACCATGTACGTGTTGACAGAGCTGGTTTTCCTGAAGTCCTCGTGCAGAGTGGAACTGACAAGCCTCGCGCTGGGGAGGGGGGCGCCGTTCTGGGCAGTCGTACGGGGTATCTTGAACCCTGAGAACACATGGTGAACACATCAGATGTTTAAACTGTTTTTACTCACAATATTTGAGTAATTATTTGTATTTGACCACCAGTGGGAAGTGACAGTGGAAGTGGAAATACAAGTGACGATGAAGTAACTTGAAGTAATTATTGTTACAGTGGCAAGTCATTGCAGACATCTCTCTCTATAAATATATGCTTATGTATTGTCCTGCCAATGAAAAATCCATTCCAAACACTGCCACATACCATCGCTATACTCTGACGGAAGCAGTCTCTTCTGGGGCTGTTCTGCACTTCCCCAGAGGGGGTGAACCCTGTTGTTACAACGGCCGTCTGCGGAGCGGAACTCGGGAATACCTGGCGGGTCGCAGGTGATTGGCTTCATCGATGTGACGTCACATATACTCGTCAAGTTTGTCGAGGCGACCTTGGTTAGTGCCTCAAAACTCATATTGTATTGGCTGAAACAATGGGAACGACAACTTTTGTCAGATGCTGTACATGAGATCACGATAAATGCATGCGAACATTACACAAATATGGCAATGAAAAACTAGAAGATATGAGGAATCTTATTTACCTGCTCATGAATTGCTCTGCCACATCCTCGAGGACCCAAGCACACTGACTGAGCTCCACGGACATGGGTGTGGAATTGTGGACAACTCTCAGTTTGTGTTGCGTCCTGGACTCCGTACGGAGAGTGTCACCTTCAACGGTAAAAAAACAACACTTAGTATTCAGGGACACAGTTAGTACCAACAGTAACGTTGTTGACGAATGGAGAGGGATATTTTTTTTGCAGAAAATGCTTACATGTTTCCTCCGTTTACATGTAAATTCAGCGTGTATGCACGCTGGCCAGAGTAAGGCTTTTGCTCCTACCTCCGAATAAGGCTTTCGTTCTTTGTTCCAGGTTTGCCTTGGCCAACGTGATCACCCTCTGTAGTTCTTCGTCTGTAGGACTCCGGGCGACAACCGTCCATGGCGCCACGGCAGATATTAGAAGTAGTATCTGGAACAATCTGGAGGGAAGCGACATGTCGTCAGCGTTTTCTCATTAAATGAATAAGTGTTCGCTGTAGGGTACGTGATCACCGAAATCTGCTACAGAAAGCAACAGAACGAACTGACAGGTTCGTTTGGCTGAGGTTCCGAGTAAATAACACTGACTACACTACAGCTGTGTGTAGCTATTTTGATATCTCTAGCTTTAGACCAGTACTGGATCCAGAACATCAGCTCACGAGGCACTCGTCACCCAGGTGTGACATCACTTTGTTAGTTTCACCTGCGTTCCCGCAACCTGACGATAATCAAGTTAACGAGAATTAACAACTATAGATTGGTTTGCTCCACTCCCATGTCACTTTCTGACAGAGCAGGTTTGTCTATTTTAACCGCCAGAACATGTGTGTTTCCAAATTAACGTATAGCGTTTCCTTTCATTTCGGTACCACAATCTAGTGTACAAAACTGATTGTAACACAGAAAAGGCAATATCGCAAAATGATTTATAAATGGAAGCGCGATTTTGGTCGGTTTCATATTTCATGAACAAGCTCCTGTCACGGCGTCAAATTTCAACCTGGTTGCAGTGGCATTAACACTGCCCTCATTTTTTTCTTCACAAAAATAAAGTTTGTGGCTGAAACATGCTGTCCTTATGCAAGCACACAGAACTTTTAGACAACTCCGGAAGATTAAAAAAAATCGAAGCTATAAATCACGAGAAAGGAGAAAGAAAACTTACCTTGCATGCATGATGTCCACAGCTGAGTAGCAGGTCCGATGGTGGGATGTGCCGTCGCAGAATCTTGATGGTCTCTCTTCCGATACACCTGTCTTTCTGAAGATCTCCTGCACCGAGCGCCCATTTTATAATCCCAACTCCCATTGTCCGAGCATCAGCACGAGTCACCAAGACTACTTCCCTCGCCTTTGACGTCATCAACGTAACCAGAAATACTTGACCAAAACGTCTCTTCGGGGAAAGCCCGCATGCTCCAGGGAGCCAAAGCTTTGTTTTATCCTATTCAGGTGCATCGCCAGGTCCCCACGCGCCCCCAAATTATGACGTGGGTTTGTGACGAACAAAAATCACGCCCACCCAGCTGATAAGATAGTGCTATTGTTTTGTATTTAATCCATAATTACAAGCTAATTGGTGTTATTTCAGTGTATAAGGACGCATTCATATTCAGTGAGAGTGTCCGCCCAACAAATCAGCGATGTTTTCTTGGGATGTATAATTACAGTTGGAACTTGGAAGTAGGAAGTGAAAGTCTTGTGAATCGGAAGATGTCGAGAGTGAAGAAACTAAAAAACTAATGAAGAATAGCCAGTCAGGACTGTACGTACTAGACTACTGCATTGAAGACTCCTTCTTAGAAGTCACTGTTTACTCTCCACCAAAATTTACTAAACAGAGTGGAACTCGGAGTGACTAGCTAGGTGCACATCCTGATACCAACACAACAACACAATGACATACAATGACGTCACATGTACCATCTCTGGTTGGCACGGAAGATTTAGTGGGGTTACAAAACAAAGTGTCAGAGTTCTAAAAAAAGGACATCATTCTGAGAAAGCATAGGCTTCGAATAAGAAAGAAATTAGATGAAACAGCTACACGGTTTTCGTTTCTCCTATCCTCCTCAGCGGTGGAAGTGTAGAATGAATCGTATCTATTGATAGCCTGGTTCAAGTACTAAGTATCTTTATCTTCCTTAAGTGTTCATTTCATATTTTTGAAATCTTATATATCAGAAACTTTAGCAGCCTTCAAGCTCTTCAGAAAGGCTACGGTATGGACAGTGCTACAAGTTTCTACAGAAGGAGAGGGAAGGCATAGGAAAGTCGACTGATCGACCCCGGAAGCCCCTGGTCTGTCCCAGGACCAGAGAAAACACACACCTGGCGACAGGTGATTCTCAGTTACTGCGTCCTATCGGACCCTTCTGAGACTGGTCAAGAGTTAGGCACGCCAAGGAAACCAAGTCATGCACGTAAGATCTAGAGACGCGTCATCTATTGTGTGTATTTGTGGTAGAAACATCAGGGCACGTCACTGGACACTGTCCGCATCTCCACATCGTGACCAGTCACGCCTGATTAGGCTCCAACTGTTCCTTTACTTCTTCATCACTGACCCGAATCTATGACGTGTTTGAATTCGTCGCCGTCCGTTTTTATTTTGGTTTTACACACAAGGCATGACGGTACATATACGTCATGGGTTTGGAAGTTTTGCCTCCTCTACAGACAGAGGTTCGGCTGATATGCTTATTTTTGACGTGTTTTGGGGCATCTTATAGTACATATACGACGGAAATTGTGCACTGTGTGGTGTTTTTTTACAGGAATTTTTTTCCGCCATTCAAACTAGTGGCGTATTAGAATTTGATACTATCTTTGATACTGCTTGGAGATAAGGTTTTGCCTGGTGTGGTCAGAAACCAATTTAACACTGTAATTGATTTCCTTCCTCCAGAGAGCCCAAGCATTGTTTCATCCTATTCAGACACATCGTCAGGTCCCCGTGGGCACCCAAATTATGACGTAGGTTTGTGACGAACAAAAATCACACCGGCACCCAGTTGATAAGATGATGCTATAAATATGCTATTGTTTCGTATTTAATCTATAATTACAAGGTAATTGGTCTTATTTTAGGGTATAACGACGCATTCATATGTATCAGTGTATTGAGAGTCTCCGCCCAACAAATCAGTGATGTTTTCTTGGGACGGTTACTGCTGGCAACCATTGTGAGTTGTGACCTACTTCTGCGGGAAGTAAATTGGAAGTGACTGCGAATTAAAAGATTTCGATGGTGAAGACTATATAAAACCTAATGGATTGAAGACTCCATCATTGAAGACTCCTTCACCACAAAAATTACTGATTATTCTTCACTAAAATCAAGGTGTAAGGGTGACCAATCAGGTGGAGTTCCTGGAACCAACGTAAGGACATACGATGACGTCAGGTCCACGGACTGTCTCTGATCGACACGAAAGCTTTAATGGCGTTTCAGCACCAAGTCTTGAAAAAAGGAACACCCATAGAACCCATTTGGTTCTATAGCTAATATATCGATGCATCTACGCTACACGATTTTTGCTTCTCCAATGCCCCCCAGTGATATTCCTATATTTTCTATGAATGCTCATTTCTAATTTCTGAAATCAAATTCTAGTACAATGTATATACATATAACATATACTAGTATACCCATTCCAACCTGGTCTACCGGCGATTCTTACTTGTAGCTTGTTAATGTAAATTGTGTACGTAAATGCGCGCGATAACATTTGAAACTGCTCCTACTATCGATCGTTCTGGAGAGCTGTTGTCAGGCGATTTAAGATAATTGCTGTAAACTAATTGGACGTATTAAGACCATTGCATTGGGAAGTCCTCATACGAGTGCTGACCCAACAGGTAATTTGAATCCGGTAAAATGGCTGTAGACTACTACATTATGTACAGTTCAGAATCAAATGATCAAGCTGAGATGTACATAATAGTGTCACATAATGCTTGATTCACAGATCAGGAGATCACTAAAGCAACCTGCTCATTTCTACTTCATATATAATGTAAGGAGATATATAAATTCAATTTCAGTACTCAAGAGAACTGTCATACGGCAAAGGTGGAAAATTTATTCAGTGCAATTGACATATTGCAGTTCATTATACCACAAAGCAGCAAGCATTCTCAGGCAGTTGTGTGTTACCCTATATTTCCTTAGCACAAGCATTTTTTGTAACTATCAGGAGTGCATGTACCTATAGTCAACATGTAACACCCCCCTCACACCTGCTTATTTTCATGTTAGAGGTTTGAAGTCTGGTTTTAATGGCACAAATTTGAGCTACAAAAAGTCAGAGGTGCTACAAGTAGTTTGGAATGGAAACTTTCAAACTATGAAGTGACTTGGATCAAGTTTTTATGGGATATATTTAGAGTGGAGATGTAGAATGTGTTCATCAGACTTAATGGTAGGAATGAGATGAAAGACAGAAGAATAAAATTGGTAAAGGATGGTAAAGGAAAGTTAGATGATTGCATTATAAATGATTCCATGATACAGCTAATGCACAACTGTCGACAGACTCAACACATTCTTGGTGTACTGCATTAAAATGACTGACATTACTTGTTATCGTCAGACACTGGAATGAGATGTTGTGTTTGTCAGAAACCATTCCTCTGTAATATGTACAATACGTGGTTTCCTATCTACAGCCTACTGCTCTATGTTTCCATGTGGTGAGTTGCATAGAGACTGCACACTGTATTGTGCGAGATACAAAATTCATTAGAAAAGCTAATTTAAACAAAATTGTTGCACCAGTTCATTAGCTACATTAGGGTGATCCAACCCTCCACATATCATAATTAATTGGTTTATATAGGTATCATGTAGTCTTGTGCTTGTAGGCAATAGTCTTTAGTACTCTTTACGCATGTGAGAATACACCTAAGTTACATGTGCCGCCAGACTGCATGTGGAGGTTGGAATAGTGGTCTTGAAAAGATTATGGTCAACTGGTATAACTGCCAATGGGCATACACTTCAGCCCACCATGCACATCTCAATCTTGTTGAACAGAACAGGTCTTCATGTCATTCTGTGTTTTATGTATTCTTTGGCAACCTGACATTGTATGGCTGCCTTTAGGAGATTGTTACCTCTACTACTGGCTCTAGCCATTATATTCTACCCTCTTTTTAAAAATTCTAAACTCGTTTTGTAATTCCTAATGCCATTATGTTACCAATGCAAAAAAAATGTAAAAAAAATGTATCAAAATTAATATTTTTTCAACATACACTTTGTTGACACAACACAAAGAGCTGAAACAACAAAGACTTTTCAATTTGCTTTAAGCTATCTGAAAACAAAGTAAGCTACTGGAGAGTACCCTAATATACTGGCCTACTATTACTGGTTAAACAAACAATTTTGGGTCAAATCTAAAGATCTCTGACCTTCATGTAGTTAACAGAAATCAGTTACAGTATCATGAGAAGCTACAGTAGAGAAAAGGTATCCAGCAATTTGACATCATGTCCATATTCTAAATATGACGATTTAAGGCAGTTGTAGTTGGCATTGACCTTAGAACATTGACCCCTCCTATTCCTAATCTGTGAACTCCCTATGGCCCCTGTGTGCTAGAGATGCGTAAGTAATGGAGGAACTTGAAGCAGAGGCTGACCACCAGGTGCCAGATGTTCCGAGCGATCTTCGTCCGCGCGATCAACACTCGCCAGAACAGCACGATCAGGATGGTGTTGAAGCCCCAGCGGATGTTACGGAGCCTGGGGGGAAGTTCAAAATCATGGCTTGAAGAAGTAGCTTACTCAGATTTGTGTTCATTTATCTACTTAATATGTAATTATTTATTTATTGAAATTTACCACATCTGTGGCAGGATGGACATAACAAGTGACTATCGCCTTTTCAAGAGGTAACCAAGAGACCTAACTGTAAGGTCTGAACCACTCACACATGGAACGACCCCTACTCTTTATAACAAGTGACAGCTCAGCTGCTGTATGATGCGTCACATGTACAATGTGTGTACATGTACATATGGCTTACTTGTTGAGATGTGCCTTTGCTAGAGGGAGCTGGTCCATGTCCTCCTTCAGCACATACTTCTTGGTGCCCAGGACGTAGTTCTCCATATAGGTCGGCCAGTGGAGGCCACGGCAGTCAAACTTGAAGATCTGCAAAGTGTTAGGGAAATGCCTCAGTACAAACAGTCTGATACCACAGGGATTAGATTGCAGGGATGAATTGTTATTTTAACGTCAAAAAGATTCTGCATACTAGTGTACTATAGTACCCTTACTGTGCATAACCCTACGGAAATATTTACATGTAGGTGTACTGGTGCACCACAGTTAATTAGGTGCACAGCTCCAGTTAAAATGAGGTGCATATGTAGCCAGTATTTCACTGGGTGAGATACCTTCTTGTCTTCCTCCCCCATCTTGGCCATGAGTGCATCTACGTTAGCATGGCTCCACTCCCAGTGGTGCAGGGTGAAGTACTCCATGCTCTGGAGGGCCTTCTCCAACTTGTTATACATCTTCACAATCCTGCAATAAAAGGAAACAATCTGTCTTTTTTTGCTGTCAGGTAAATGAACCAAATTATGTGTTCTGAAAGGAGAACAAATTTGGTGCTATGTGGTTGCCTTTTACAGGGGCAGAAACCACAACAAATGGCAAACATGGCTGGATATACATTAGTCAATTCCTAGTGGCTATGAAAATAAGAATGTCAGACAAAAAGTTTATAGGTAACACAGAAGAAAAACATGTCATACTGACCTGGGTTTCTGTCCAATCATCCTGAGCCAGATATCATACAGGTATGCTGGACCCTTGTGGCTGACGATTTGCCAGTACTGGTACATGAAGCTAGAGAAAATATTGCAAAACAAAAGTTTATTGTTAATTATTGTTTCTCAAGTTATCAAAGACAACCCTATAACATGATAAAACAAGTGCTGATAAAAGGGTGGCACTGTGGGGTGGTAAAGTTGGTAATGGTAGCAGGGAAAGACATAGCTTTGGAGCCATTCTATTTGTATACCGGTGCTCACATAGTCATACTCCCGACCGAAAAATTGGTCTGGCACCCAGGCTACAGAAGATGGACCCTTTCCTTAAAAATTTTTAAAAGATTTATTTGAACATCATGACAACATAATGTTTTTCCATATAAAATCTCGCCAAATATAATCAAAATTGGTTGCACAATCTTTTTTCTAATTTGTGTCAGAAGACATGATAAAAGGTCACAGCAACTTCACTTTTCATCTCCAACTACTTTGTACTTTACGACTTCTGATATTCTTGCCATGAAAAACTGGATTGCAGTACAACCTTCTTGTTATACTACAACAGCTACAATCAAACTGACCTGTTACTGGCAAGTGCACAGTTGGGTCTCCTGAAAGGCTTGTCAAGAGGGTATTTCTTGAAGATGCTGATCAACATGCCCTCTGTGTGGAAGATAACACTTTTAATAAGTAAAATCACAGATTATACAAGACTACAAAATACACAGCCAAGAAGTAAACAGCATTACCAAAGTGATAACAGTTGCAAAAAATCAATCATATACAGGGTACCAATTTTCTTGCTTTAACACAATCACTAATATGTACATGTACATGACAGGACTTACCAATCTCTCCCCATCTGAAGGGGTTGACACCCCCTGATGTGGAATTGTACACAGGGATGTTCTCTGGCCTGAAAAACACATGCAACAAACTTCATCTTTGGGTCCTGGTCCATTATTACAAACTTCACTCCAAAACAAAAACAAACAACAGTTACCTAATTTTTTCTGTTCACTTTTGCAAGAATTTAAGACAGATGACTCCAGTTACATGTAGAATCCTGTGACATCCCACAAGGAGTTAAAAATGTCTGGAAGCTTGAAAATTGTGTTTTTCCTTTTACCAGTCACCCCCAAGGGTCATTCTTCTAAGATACAAATGAATTAAGCTTAAGATGTTTGTGAGTTTCTTGTTGTTGTCATTTGTAAAGATGGTGAGAATCCCACCTGGAGACAGCAGTGTCCCAGGCTACAGCAATCATGAGGTTGGCAGGCAGATCTACTGGTATGATATCAGCATAAGCGTTATACTCTCCCCGCATGGTCCGCAGCAAGCCCTTTCCTGCCTGCAGATGAAAGTAAATAAAGGGTAGGTGATACAGCAGGGCAAATCAATGCATAATTCCAAAATGGTTGTTGACACAGTAGGATAAATGCTGCAAAAAAAAAAAAAAGAAATGTAAAATTCATCTGATCAAAATGCCCCATGCTACTGATGTTGAACATGAAGCTATAGCTATAAAGTAAGAGCATACTCACAGCAACAAACAGCCCACTAGGTCCATTGAAGTTGTCACACCAGCCCTATAGGGGAATCCCAAAATGTGATTTTTTTACTGACACATTCAGTCTAAACAGGAGTATTTCAAAATAGACATACACCATATATCAAATCCATCACTGTGCTACAAAGAATGTATGATGTGAGCTTTCTCTCAAATTTGTGATGGTAATGTTTTAACTGACAACTATCAGACCTTGAGTAATGTAGTCAATGTAATTCAGTAATGTTCACAGACTGTCATACTGATTTGCACCAATAACTGATCCCTCCCGATACAGTGTACGTACCATCAGAGGTTCTCTCCAGGAGGCACCGATGATAGAAGGCCTGACGATGGCCAGGGGCAGGTCAGCTGCCTCCTGGGTCAGTACGTACTCCGCGCAGGCCTTAGTGAAGGTGTAGGTGTTGGGTCTTTTACCTATCAGGTCTGGAGTCAACTTAGTCACCATGGAGTCATCCATCCATCTACAGAAACATAGCACCACGTTGGTGAGCTTCAAACTCACAGCTGTGGAATACTGTGAATGCATCTCCTTTCGCAGTTTTATTCTCAGTTTTCCCAGTGTTCTCTGAATGTGAAATCATGACACCACATATTGGGCTTGTGATCACTGCGAAAACCTTTTCCCTCATACTACAAAACCAGCACAGAAGTAAATGCAAAAAGTGCCCCTATAGCTATAGGATACTGTTACGCAGGTAACCCTCTTCTCAAAGAAACTGTGCTATACAACTGTAATTTCACATTAGCAAACTAGCATATATAGCAGCATACAGACAGGATTTGAAGGAAACCAGCTACATTATACTCTTCATTGACAATTTCTGTACTTAGTACTTACTCTAGGGCATCAATCAGCTTCTGAGGCTGCACAGGGGGCGGGTAGATAACCTCTTCAATGTAAGCCCTGTCACAGTTGGCGTAGGCAGTTGACACATGCACAAAAGCCTGTAGTAGGAACACACTTACTTGAGTTCTGGGCAGTAACAGTGACAACATCATTTGCTACAAACATTATCAGCTAGATTCAAATCCAAAAACAACAGATCCAGAAGCAGGATTTCTAGCACTTGCTTATATCCAATTGTTATCTAGCTGTCTTACGAGGACCATTTCCAAACTTTAGTGCTCCTTTAATCCAAAAAACAAAACTGTCCAGTGGATTAACTCAGGAAACCCATAGTCAATAATGAAAGATGTTTGTTCTAACCTGAAGGTGTTTGAGTTTGTGGCACAAGGCGATGACGTACTGTGTCCCTACAACATTCAGCTGCATGGAGGGTCTGAAAGGGGGATCAAAAATCATCACTCATTTGTAACATATGGCATCTACAAACACCACTTTGGATCCCAACCTGATGTTATGATGGTACAGATACAGTTGCAAAAGGATTGAGGTGTGCAGCATTTATGTGCAGGTCGTTTTTCAAGGAGGCATTTCAGCCAATAGGCTGTTTGGACCATAATGAGTACACAGTTCTGATCAGAGTTGGGTTATAGAACAAGCATGTTGGATGGGACATGTAATTAGCTTACTTTAGAGGGTCATCAAATCTAACTGTCGCTGCAGAGTGGAAGAGGATGTGGATTTTCGACACCAGCATGTCTACGTCTGATTGGCTGATGCCTAAGGCGGGTTCACACATGTCTCCTGGGATGGCGTGCAGCTTGTGGTGGAAGGATGGCTGTTCATGGCGAACTTTGTCAAAGAGCTGGAAAAAAAATACAAACACAAATTTAGCAAAAACAAATATGTACACCATGTGCTGCATGTTTCTGTCTGTAGTGGTCACTGGGGAAGTCTTAATTCATTACTTAAATGTAAGTAAATAAAGAAGCTCAGGATTTTTGGAGATTAAACTGTTCTACAATTGACATAAAAACTAGTTATATGATTTGTGCAAACAAAATGAATACACAACTTCAAACCTGTACCACACAATCACAATGATACTCCATACATTGATATCTCAATGTTTCAGATATTTGTAAGTACAAGACCTTTTCATTGTATAAACCCAGTTGAAAGGATATCAAGGAGTGTGGTCTGTCCAGTACAGACCCACAGGATAGAGCTAGCTGGAGGCGTGGTGTCCAGAACAGCCGACTGCTGCCCACCCCTGGGACAGGGAAACCGGCAGTATAATCTAAACACGGATAGTGAGTGAGTGAGTGAGTGAACATACCTTACAGCCTATAATCTTGTTCAACCTTTCTTGGGCAGTCTGGTCTCCTCTTGGCCTGATCAACAGATAAATTCCCTCCACTTCTGGGCAGGAACGTAGCAGCTTTTCAACAAGGACCTTTCCCAGGAATCCTGTTGCCCCAGTAATGAAAACATTCTTGTCCTTGTAAAAGTCGGCAATAGCAGATGCCATTTTGATTGTATTACGTTGTACTTATTCCTTCTCTTGCCAGCAAAATTTTCATTAATTCTATAGACTCTCTATTAGATATTTCATATACCTATCAATAAATGTTTATAAAAATATTGCTTTAGGGTTTAGGTTTACTGCACACGATTGTCAGCAAGCTTAAGTTCAAGTTCTCTTTTGTAGACAGGTGTTGTAACAGGTGTTCTGACAGGTGCTGTTAACAGGTGCTAACAGGTGGTCCTGGTGTGAAGAATGGTGTATTTATGAGGGTGGTGAGGACACTGATGTCATCTTGTCATGGCCAGTCTCTCTGCAGAACAAAAAAACAGATATGGGAATGAATAATTAATGCTGGTACATTGTATCTGAGCCGGCATATCACACTGTGTTAACCACATCTTATATAATGTTCCTACCTCCAGCTGAAGAATACATACTGTAAATACAGAAACTTTTGCAGTGGTTTTATTTTCGCTGTTTTCTTAGTGACCTCTCCACTGGAAATTGAATATACTTTACTGCTAATATGCCTCCCTTGTATGATTATTGCATCAGTGCCACAGACTGGTTTCAAGCACAAATTTAAAACACTGCAAAAGAAGTAACATTGTCTACAGCAGCTACAAGCTTAAAAGTTAATTGCCTGTCAACATGTGACAAGATCACCATGTGCAAATGTACTGTTCTGTTGCCTCTTAATCATCTTGTTTAGCAGTTAACCTGAATATAACTCTTATTAGTCTTAAGTCACTTTCACTTGTGCTTCCGTTTTTAGAATGCCATAGACCACACTTGGAAGTCAGAAGCAGTTACCATTATTAAATTTAGATCTAGAATATAGGTACAACATCTATTGGTGCATTAAACTACTGACATGCTTCTGCTTTTTCTGGGTCATGTTTTGTATATATGGGGCCGTAGCCCATGCACTTCTGCACTACATCACTTCAATAGTATTGCTTGAATTTCTGAGAGAGTAAATATCACTTTTTTCAGGCTACCAACTACATTTCACCACAAAATCATCAGCCTGAAATTAGCAGACATGCATTTGGTATGTAAAGACTGTCACATACCAAATGCATGACATAGTAACCTAACCTGTTTGAACTGCTTACTGGCAAATTTTGTCTGGGCATCAGGTGCCCTTTAGGGGCTCAAACAATGTGTCTAATGACGCAAATACAGCCGAATATTCTAGACTAGTAGTCTAGAGCAACTACTTAAGGGAGGGAAGGTATGAAATAGAGGTATACTGTAGATTCCAAGGCACTTTATATATCACAAATGTCCCATGCAGAACAATTGTAACCGAGACTGTTTCAAAACAAGTACAAGTTGTGAGCTGTGCATGGGTAGGCATGTGTAGGTGTGGTACTATAGCCACTCCTTCCCTAGTCAGCCCATTGTGGGACATACCAACATCGTTTCACTGTAAGCCAACCAGAGGACAGGTAGAGAAATCTGATCATGTTTGTTTTGTGGTTTCCTGGCGACTGAGCACACATGGCCTGTACTAGTGTAACTATTCATTCCTGTCACCTTTATCCTTGGTGACCGGTCCCTGATAGTGGTGATATAACTTGTACAAAGTGTTTAAACAGTATGACTGATAAGTTTCCAGGGGTTTCTGAATATAACCAGCACAGTATAAATGTAACTGTATATATGGGATGCTAAAGGCACCAGTGCAGATCTAGAAGTCTAAAAAATTAATGGCTGCCATAAACTTGAAAAGAGAGCAGAGAAACAAGTACTACAAGAACTGAGGAAAACTTGATAACCAAGTACATGTAGTATATTGCAACATGCATTTCTATATCACCATCTGCAGACACAAAAAAAATCACCCTAAAAAGTTAAGTCAAATACATCAAAATTAGATAAAGATTTGTACGTCATGTACTAAGGACCAAAATATTTTCACTTGAAAATCAAAATGACTGAGTCTTGCCTATTACATGGTACTATATTACATCATTCTCTACCCTAGTAACTTGGGACTGTGCAACTTGTATTTAGAGTCATGACTACTCAGAGCTTGAAATAATGTTACTTCATGTATGTTTGTGGGGACTAGATTTTGCTATAGAACTTTGTAGGGGACAGGGGCTTTTCGTAGTTAGATTACCTGGGCTGGTAATTATTCAGTAAACAAACATTCATGCCAAGTGTGCCTTTTTCGTAACTGCCACTGTCATGGGTTTATTATGTGATGTCAAAAAAATGTGTCTCATGCTTTATTACTGTACAAAGTAATTTGGCAATGGCTACCGGTATTGACAGGCAAATCCTGTATTTATTGAAATGAGTTTCGAGCCCGGCTACAGGATTCTGTCTTACCATAAACTCAGAGGAAAATGGGCATATTACTTTAGGATATACCTGGGATCTGGGATCTCTGCAGGTCAGATTAATTCTGAATGAAGTTGTTCTCACATATCATAGAGGTAATAACCTCCTTCCACTGAACAATAACTAGGAACCCATCCTGAAGTCTATACAGAAGTTTCCCTGAGAGTAAAAGAAATGTATCAATGTTAGGAATGTAAGATAAGTTCTGTTTTATCCTCATGGTTTTATTATTAATGAATTCCATTTTGTATTATTCCTAGCCTAAAGTTTACATGATACCACAATAAAATTGAATAAATAATTTGTGTGTTCAATATAAAATGTTTAGAAGAAGCAAGAGTGGTTGACAGCACAATTCAAATCGATCTGGACTGTGCAAGTGCAATAAATTATAGAAGACAATAAGCAAAATTGGCGCAAAAGGAGATCACAGAAAATAATTCATGGCGAACATAAAATTATATAGCCACGCCCTGTCGATTATAGAGGCCATGTGGGTGCAGTGGGAGGGGGGCGTGCCTTACGAGCACAGGTCCAGATCTTCCCGGGTCAATTCCCGGGTACTGCTGTCTCGCCACTAAAACACACACAGTACGCCACAAAATAAACCTGATCAGATAATACTTTAAGGCAAATACTTTGCGGTCAAGGGTCGTGTTCTGGCCAAATTATATAACCTAGCCGGTTACAGACCACCGCGCGGTATTACCTACCGGTGAGTCAACTTATCCGCCAGACAACTGTGTCAAAAATTCCACACTAAAAAACTTGATTTTCACAGCTGTAGACAACATGAAATCCCGCTTACCTTATTGTTTCTGTGTACTTGTCTGTCTTGTTGTAAAAGTTTGAAATGATACAAATATAGAGAAATGCTGACC